AAAAAAAAAAAAAATGAGCTGGGTTTGGTGATGCTCAGGCAATAGGGCAAGACTCTGTGTCAAAAACAGAAACAAAACAAAACAAAAAAGATGAACCAGTTCGTTCTGGACCTTGAGGAATGGTCATATGAGGTCTGACAATTAAGTTTGTGAACTTGCCTACGCTGGCAGCATTGTACAAAAAGCTTGGTGAGATTTCATAACCTTGGTACATGAGTGTCTCACAGCTGTGTTTGTGTTGGCATGTGGTGGTGTCTTGCTGGGTGGCATTCATTATTGTTGCATGGTTTGCATGCCATCTAGAGAGTGTCAGAGCTTAAATCAGAGCAATTAACAGACATTAAGTTTTTTTTTGAGACAGAGTCTTTTTATGTTGCCCATGGTAGAGTGCTATGACATCACAGCTCACAGCAACCTCAAACTCTTGGGCTCAAGTGATGCTCTTGCCTCAGCCTCCCAGTAACTGGGACTACAAGTGCCTGCTACAACACCTGGCTTTTTTTTTTTTTAACAGACTTAATTCACTTTTTTTTTTTTTTTTTTTTGCAGTTTTTGGCTGGGGCTGGGCTTGAACCCACCACCTCCGGCATATGGGGTCAGTGCCCTACTCCTTTGAGCCACGGGCACTGCCCAGACTTAATTCACTTTATTATTTTTGTATAAAAACTCTATGTTGTAGCCACAACCGGAGCCTGGGTCCTCTGCACAGAGACTGTTGCAGTCCTGACAAGATAGTGAATTCTTGGTAAGGAGAGTTGGTGAACACTGTCTCTTTCCAGAGGTCAGGCGTGAGATAGCTACAGGTCTTGGAAATGGCATTAAAAGTGGCCTTGGCAAAGTTGCCCAGGGTGGCAGTGCAGCCCCTGGCTGAGGTGTAGCAGTCATCGATCCCAGCCATCATTAGCAGCTTCTTAGGCACAGGAGCTGAGACAATGCCAGTTCCTCTAGGAGCAGGAATGAGACGTACCAGCACAGAGCCACAGCAGCCTGTCACCTTACAAGGAACAGAGTGAGGCTTGCCAACCTTGTTCCCCCAGTAGCCTCTCCACACTGGGACAATAGAGAGCTTGGCCAGGATGATGGCCACTCTGATGGCAGTGGCTACTTCCTTGGAATACTTAACACACAGACCGACATGGCCACTGTAGTCCCCAATGCCAACAAACGCCTTGAACCTGGTCCGCTGGCCAGTGCAGGTCTGCTTTTGCACTGGCATAATCTTCAAAACCTCATCCTTGAGTGATGCCTCCAGGAAAAAGTCAATAATCTCAGATTCCTTGATGGGCAGGGAAAAAAGATACATCTCCTCCAGAGATTTGATCTTCATGTTCTTGATCAGGCGGCCCAGCTTGGTGACAGGCATCCACTCTTTGTCTTCGGCCTTGCATCTGAGAGCTCCGTGGCCTTGGTCTTGACCCCGACCATGGCCGCGCCCCCAGCCCCAAATGCCACTGCCAAAGCCTCCACGGAAACCACCACTGCCTCCCATTCTAGGGTCCCTGGGGCCTCCAGGCCCTCCTGCTGCATCAGTGTCATCTGCTATTTAGTGTTTTCATCAAAGAAGAAGCCTAGCTAGTTTCTTGTTATTTCCATCATTGTTTTTTTTGAGACAAAGTCTCAAGCTGTTGCCCTGGGTAGAGTGCCGTGGCGACACAGCTCCAGCAACCTCAAACTCCTGGGTTCAAGTGATTCTCTTGCCTCAGCCTCCTAAGCAGCTGGGACCACAGGCGCGTACCCGCCACAACATCCAGCTATTTTTTGATTATAGTTGTCACTGTTGTTCGGCAGGCCAGGGCTGGATTTGAACCTGTCAGCTCTGAGTGGCTGGTGCCCTAGCTGCTGAGCTACAGGCACCAAGCCTTTTGTCATTATTGTTTTAGCAAGTCCTAGCTGGGTTTGAACCCATCAGCCCTAGTGCACGTGGCCGGCGCCCTAACCACTGAGCTAGAAGCGCCAAGCCAACAAATATTAAATTTCTTGTTAAACTTGGCAAGAGTGGAAGTGAAATGTTAGTCCAAGCATATAGGGATAATGCCACGAAGAAAACAGCAGTGTACAAATGCATTGAACGTTTTTCTGAGGGGCAAGAAAAAGAGTCATTAGTGAAGTGAGGTCAGGGAGTCTAGTAATGAGAAGAACTGATGAAAACTTTGCAAAAATTCATTGGACTGTGCATCAAAATCACCAGCTGATGGTGAGAAGCACAGGAGACCAAATAAACATCAATAGACAAACAGGGCTGGGTGCAGGGGCTCACATCTGTAATCTCAGCACTTGGGAGGCTGAGACAGGTGGATTGCCTGAGGTTCGAGACCAGCCTGAGGAA